ATATTAATTGATAAATCAAATTATTTAATTAGTATTGATCAAGAATTAATTTGGGGTTCAAAAGAGACTAATTAAATATACGGGGACTGATTAAATAAATCAATGATTCTTATAGTGTAGGTCAATGATTGTTAATTAGGATGGGCTAAACCAATATGATAGTTAATGGATAGTCGATGGAGGTTTAACCCATGGAGCCTAAGTAATATGAAAGGTCATGGTGCATTAGGGGTTTGCTTGGATGTAATCCTAGCCTATGTAACACTATAAAAGGAACCCCCTAGACCCAAAATCGTTTGCCCCATTCATTCTGAGAGAGTGATAATTGATTTTGTGCTAACTAGCTTATTCTCTCACGTCTCCTCTTGCATTTGGTGTTTATGACACATTAGAGGCATCACACTTGAGGTGCTAAAGCATCTAGGGGTGCATGTGTACCATAAGAGTGTTATACTGCTTAAAACCCAACAGTTTGATGATCTAACCCAACAGGAGCAAAGAAATTAACCAGGGATACACTTACTCATCCTACTATAATATCCCAAAACACAACACAATTCCCACAACAATGTGCAGATAAAACTGAAAGACGATAATGTTACATACCCACAACATTGCCTGCTGGATTTCTGACTTCTCCTATCTGACATTACAGAGCCCGACTCCTTCTGTTGACATGACCTACCCCACTATACTTGCAGCACCCTAAACCCCTGGAATGTCTAACTCCCTTGTGTACTTTCCCACACGTGGTGCACTGACTCCGGTCCTGCTAGCCTTTCATCTGATGATCAGAAGTCTTGGGTCTCTGCCCAGGACCCCATTACTATATGCACCTAGCATGACCCTGTCTTCTAAAAGTGCTCCAAATCGATCTCGCATCTTCAAACTTTGGTATTCATATCCTCCAGGTCCCGACACCATGTCAAACTCACTAGCTCACTTTCCAATGGCTAAGCTGCAATAGCTAGAACATACTCCACCCCCAAAACGGGTCACAAATTCCTTCCCGAAGCTTCTCAGATTCTCCAATACTTTCACCGATTTGAGTACGGATTCTGTGCTTTCAATAGTACGGCCCAATACTACCTTCCATACCTATCCATACTTTGCTCAACGATCTTCCCAAATCCTCCAATTCACTTCCTCAAACTGATACATCGAAGTACTCTCACTAAACCTCACTACTAACACGCTGAAGTATATCCTAGGCTTTCCTAGGTTCCCAAACCCACCCAGACCTCAGCTGCTGAAAGATTCCCAATAATGTGAACTAGCTACCTCATGAATATAGCCACATGCAACAAAAATCAGATAATCCTTCGAGTAAAAGATTCAACCCTAGAACGGTTGGACTCAGACAAGAGTTGCACATTAGGGCCAAATCTATCACTCTGAGATTATCCAACCTGTGCCACATCTAACTTAGCATATTCATTTAATATCTAGATCATATTACTAAGGTGTTGTTTGTTTTTTTGGAAAAAAACCTCTTCAAACCTCTTACTGCTGTACGACGCAGCACACGTGCAACACTTTTCATCTCGCAGTTGTTTGTTTTTTAGAAGTCTTTTGAGTCAAAAACCTCTACGCAGGCTCTGTTTGGCGCAGCACTTGTACTCTTCTAACCTCTTCCAACCTCTTCTTCTTCTTTTTTTTTTATTGCTGAAATTTTGATTATATGTTATTAAAATTTTATTTTACATTTTTTTCCGTTTTTTTTCGTTTATTCTTATTGAATTTATTTTTTATTTTTTTATATTCAATAATGATAATTTCTTGATGAAATATCATAATTTTTTTACTAAAATATCTTTATTTTTTGTTGAAATATCATTCTTTTTTACTGAAATATCATTAATTTTTACTGAAATGTTATACATTATTAAATTTTACGTATTAAAAAGCTATTTTCGGTTTATAAAATTTGTTTATTTTAAATTTTTAATATCTGCAGCAGTATGCACACTACTAGAAAAAAGGCCTTTTACGACGCGCAAAATACGACGCTCATTGATCTATGTTACGCAAAGGAGAGTGACATTAGAAAAATGTCATCTATTCAAAAAATTTAAGGATAGAAGACACGCATTATTGCGCGCCCTTAAATTAGTGTCTAAAAAAAAACACGGAGGGCACCTATAATAAATTGCGCGTCGTCTAAGGATGTCGCTTTATAATTTTTAATGGAACGCGCGTTCCATCCTTTAACAGTAGGGGGAAATGAAATTCTGAAAAAAATTAAAAATCCCGCCTTCCTTTTTTTTCTCCTTTCCCTCTTGCCCAAATTATGGACGCTCCTTCCTTCCCCCTCCCGACATTGACTGCTGCCTACTTCTTCCCTCACTTCTACCTACTGGAACCACCATATCTCCCACTCGATGTTGAAATTGTTAGAAAAAGCCCTAATTATACTCTCAAGTCTAAATACAGAAAAAATAGAAGATGGTGAAGAAGTAGCAGTAGAGGAAGTGGAGGATGAACAGTCGAAAATGGAAGGAATGGCATCAATAGCGTTGTTACTAGATGGCAGCCATACGGAGGTCAACATTCTTTTCTCCACAAATTTCTGCCCTTGGGTCATCTTTATTTCCCTAATAGCGTGCCCTAAGAATTATAACTATTACTATGGTTTTCAGCCATTCGATGCTTCGTCTCTCCCCCATTCTCCTACACTCCTCCATCTTCTCCGAAGGTTCGCCTTCATGATTCTCTCACCCCACATTCAAGCGATTCTCTCCAAAAAATACTAGGTAAAACTTAATTTCATGATCTTGTGAACAAGAAAGTCAAGTCGTCGCCGTCTTCTTCTTCTTCTATACCATAGATATCGTTCATAGTCTCTCTCCTAAAACTGATCGACAGCCTCAAATACCTTAGTCTAAGCCAGCTATTCATCCAAATCGCTAGCAAGTGGGTCTTCTCTTTCTCTCTCAAATTATCAGTCAATCGATTTATTGTCATCACCTCCGTATACGCGCTGGCTTCCCTTTGTTCCTAATAATCTCTCCAGTCAAATCAGGTACCTATCTCTCTGCTTTCTGAATTCTCCTATATTGGAAATTCATTGATACTTCGATAGCTTTTAAACAAAAAAAACTCAGTTTTTCTCTCAATAATCCCTTGGATTTTTCATTGGTGTTCCCCTTACTGGCTTCGATAACCTCTCTAATTTGTGAGATTTGTTTTTACTTTCTCTCCCCCCTCCCTCTAAGAAGCAAACGCAGCCTCGTCGCCTTCAATCACCCAACGATTGGATTCATATATGACAACGATTTTATGTGTATGAGTTGTAGCAGCGAGCTATATGGCAACTGTAGAGTCTCTCTTGCTTGGATCTGGAACAAGTCACCCTCCATCCTCTGCCTTCAACCCAAAGGCAAAGGCAGCTGCTGCCTTCCCTGAAACTGCTCCTGGCTTAAACCCAAGGGCAATCATGTCTTTTGCACAAGATCCGGAACAAGTCACCCTCTTCATCCTCATCATTGAAGTTGAATTGATGAAGTATTTTATGAATCAGATGAAACTTAAATCATTTCATGCTACCACTTTTTAACTAATTGCTTCAAATCCTTTTATTTTTTCAGATATTGTGAGGGTTTCAAGTATGCTGCCAAATCAAGGGTTTAATGAGCTTGATAGATTGCGCCATGAAGTCCAAGTCCCATGGCATCTTCAAATGTTATGTCAAAAATGTTCTTGGGAGTAGGATTAGTGGCTAGAATGGTCTTCCACCAAAGGTACTTGTGTATTTTAATTTACTCTTTTCTTATTATGTCTTATTAATCAATAATACTTTGTTTTAAGAGATAAATACAAGTTCATGGTATATGTGTATGATCATGTAAGCCTTAATTGCATCTATTGCTGATGTGGCTCCTTCTTTTGTTTAATTCATGGTTCAGTAGGTTCCTATCATTTCATCTCACTATCTGTAATCGCATCCTTTGTTGATGTGGCTCCTTCTTTGTGCTTAGTTGCTGTTATCAGAAGTTGCCACCTCATTCTTAACTACTGTGTTACCTTGTTATTCATGGTTGTTGTCTCTGCATGTTGTCCATTGATGTTGAGTTGTTGACAGAAAAATCTCACAATGTCATTCTGACCTAACACTTATTGTATCTAAATTCAAGTTAAGTGCTATTATCAGAAGCCGTCATCCATGAATCCACTCCTCAAGTTTCTTCTTCCAAATGTTTGTGACCTTTTGGCTGTGGCTGCTTTTGTTATTCATCGTTGTTGATTCCCCATGTTGGCCATTTGATCTTAACAACTGAATCTCATATTATCTCATCTAAGAAATATGGTTCAGGGATAAAATTTGGAATTTAGACACATACGACCTAACCCTTTTTAACAGATTGTAGCTATTTGTCAGTTGTTGAATCATATATGACCTTTCATTTGTGATGTGAAGGAAAAGATTCAGAAGAAAGAGGGGATTCCATGGCATCAACAGATTTTGATCATTGATGGAAAGATCCTCGAGGATGGTAAGACTTTAGCAGATCATCACATCCGAATTGGATCTAGATTGGAGTTGGTTGTGAGTTTGGGAGGACCATAAAGTTGTTGTGTACGATCACCCTATCATGTCCCAAGCCGATGTCTCCTACAGGTATCTACATCGATCATGATTCGAATCTTATTCGATCACTTCTCATTTCAATTGTTCTACACAAATACCTGTGTCGATTGACTTGATTTTCATTTGATCACACATAATTGACTGATCTTTGTGTGTCCGTATTAGTTTACACCAGAGTTTCTTAGGTTTTGTTCATTCATTTCTGTATCTGATTTGGCCAAGTTTATTTTAGGTAAAATCGTGTTATTCAAAAGTGTATTCTTGTCATTTTGTTATTCTCTTCCGACTTTTACTAATCTGGAACACACAACTAGGATGATTCAAAATCAATCAGTAACTTCAAATTACTTTCATTTATATTACACACTATTAACTTAAGCTCTGTATGACTTCAAATAATTAATAAGCTTACCCACTGCCCACCAATCAATAGCACTGGAGTGGCCAGCTCCTGTTATGACTTCCTGAAATATCATCATAATTTCAAAGGGTAAAATAAAGAGACCATAAATAAGTGAAATTACGTAAATGCCCTTTGAGTACTTTTCATACCAGAGGTGGTGGTGAGCCCTCCTTTTGTGTTTCTTACCTCTGTTAAAAGTGAATTGAGGCCTGAAATCCAAGTTGCAGCTCAAAATTGTTGGGTTAAGAAGGGTGGTGCATTCACCGGTGAGGTTCATTTAATTTTTCAAAGAACTTAACAAGTATTATCTACTATTGTGTAGCATCTGCTTGATGGAATAAGCCGGTTATTGTATTTGACAGTTGAACTTTGCTAAATGCAAGAAATAGGTATCTACTTTCCAATTCTTTTTCATATCTAGGATTCTACTTTCATTTTTTATCATTACATAACATCATTCTACTTCCAAATTACTTCTTATTAGCGTATTGTACTTGAAAACCAGCTATGATCAGCAAATTTTCTTGATACGTATCTATCTGTATGGGTCAAAGTCAACTTTGAATTTTCCCTGACTTATAAAACAGCCCCTTGATTATAATATATATATATATATATATATATATATATATATATAAATTAAACAATACACACAAGTTTGTTTATGAATGTAATTGTTAAATGAAACTGCCCAGCACTACCCATGAGTTGAGAGTTAATTCATAAAGAATATTGTCAGATCTACAACCACATGATATAGTATACTATCCACTTTGTTTTGAAAAGCCTTAGACTTGTATTACCATCCTTTTTTTTTTTCTAAAACTTTTCAATTTCCTATGTCTGATTTCTTCTTCTTGATTCTTACTAAATACTGAAGTTGGTTTTCTATATTTACAGTGCTGAGATGCTTGCCAATTTGGGTGTCCCTTGGGTCATCCTAGGTCACTCTGAAAGGAGAGCCCTATTGAATGAAACTAATGAGGTACCCTTTTCCTTGTGTAGATTTTACTCAGCCTATTCAAATCAATTCACACTTTTCCTTGTGAACATCTTAATCAGTGTTGTATGCAAGTTACTGAAAAAGTTTTTTTTTCTTTTTCTTGTTTCATTCAGTTTGTTGGAGACAAGGTTGCATACGCACTATCTCAAGGTTTGAAGGTTATTGCTTGTGTTGGGGAGACTCTTGAGCAACGAGAAGCTGGAACCACCATGGAAGTTGTTGCTGCACAAACCAAAGCAATTGCTGGTAATTATTTTAAAACTAAACTTGTTTCTACTGTATGTCAAAAATCAAAAATCTTGTTTTATCTTTGATATAATAAGTAACTTGCACACAAAAGTTATGATTTTGGTGTTTAATGCAAGAAATCACAATATGCCTTTTCTATGTGATTCTGATTTTGGTAATTTTTTGTTGCAAGAGGAAAAGAGGAAAAGAAAGCTCAAGCCGAAAGAGATAAGATGCTGCAAATGCAAGTGTTGCATTCTTCATTTCAATTGTTAGTATGAAACACAGAGTAGATGGGCCAATGTAAACTTCTTATCCATATAACATCTGTTTGGAGCATTAGTCTTAAAGAATTATGAAAGGCAAGATGCAACTTTACTTAGTTGGAATTTGATGTAGAGAGTAGATTAGATGCAAATTTAGATATTGTAAAAAATAGAATTGTATGACATTAAATTTTATGCAATGGATTGTATTTTTTGTATATGATATTTTATTTCTATTATGAGACATTAAATGCAAATTTAATTTAAAAATTAATAAATATATAAATATTTTTTTAGAACATTTAAAATTATGATACGCAAAAATGTGTGTCATCTTCATTTATGACATGGTCTTTCTTGACAGGGGCTTCCTTGATACGCATTGCGTGTCATAAACATGCGCGTCGTAAGGTTACGACACGAAATGCGTGTCGTCTTCCTTTATGACAGGGCCTTCCTTGATACGCATTGCGTGTCATAACCGCACGTCGTAAATGCTCGTCGTAAATGCGCGTCATAAATGCGCGTCATCTATAGACGACGCGCAAAAGCGCGTCGTCTCTCTTTATGACAGGGCCTTCCTTGACACACATTTGCGCGTCGTCTGAGCGTTTTACGACGCGCAATGAGCGTCGTAAAAGGCCTTTTTTCTAGTAGTGGCAGATGTTAAAAAAACAAACACGCTTCTTATTATAGTCTGCAGCCGTTTGGTCCACCTCTTCTACTGCAGAGGGTTGCAGAGGTGGTCCGTAGACTTCATGAATTTTTGATTCAGAAAATCAAATAACACCTAAGAGTCCCAAAAAGCACAAAGCAAGCAACATTCAGATAATGGAAAATCTAACCAACATATTGTTGGATTTGGTGTCTAAGCCCATAACTATAACTGGGATGTACTTGACCCAATAGTAGCATGGTTCTTTTGGGTTGCCTTCACCAATGCAATTTGATACTATAGACTTTTGAGAAGGTTATTTATGATTTATTAATATAATACAAGTATAATATATTAATATGAAATCATATTATTTAATTAGTATTGATCAAGAATTAATTTGGAATTAATTTTGTGATCAAAATAGACTAATTAAATATATGAGGATTGATTATGTAAAGCAATGATTCTTATAGTGTGGGCCAATGATCCATGGTTATTTAGGATGGGCTAAATTAATGAGATAATCCATGGATAGTCCATGGAGTTTAACCCATGGATCCTAAGTAACATGAAAGGTCATTAGGGTTTACAATGTGTAACCCTAGCATTTGCTACACTATAAAATCAGACCTCTAGAGCCAAAATCGATTGCACTATTCATTCTACGAGAGTGATATTGATTTTGTGCCAAGTAACTTATTATCTCAAGACTCCTCTTGCATATTGGTGTTTTTGAACCATTAGAGGGATCACACTTGAGGTGCTCAAGCTTTCAAAGCTCAAGAACTACAAGTCCTTCTAAGAGGTAAGTCATCTAACTAGTTGTATTGTTCATTTGACAATGTGTATGCTAGTTAGGTTATATGCTTTGAAAAATAGAAAATATGCATGTATAATTAGAGAAAACATAGATCCAAAGCATTTAGGGTTGCATGTGCACCATAAGAGTGTTATAGTGCTCAAAACTCAGCAGTGGTATCAGAGACTACTATTGTTTTCATTTATATTTGATGCTTATTGGTTTTCAAAGTTGAAAAAAAAATATTTTCTGCCTTCTGACTGGTGAACTCTGCGAGTCCACTAGCTGAATCGATGAGTCTACCCAGTAATAGACCAACTCGACGAGTCCAGTTCATGTACTCGCCGAGTTGGTGCTCCTCTGTGCATAATTTGAGTTTTTGGCCAGAATTGGATTATGATCATTACCCCAAACTATTTTTTGAACCATAAAACCTATTTTTTGATATGGTAATGATCATGCTTATCCAATTAAAAGATAATTGTCATAATTTCAAGATTTGTATTAGTTTATATGATTAGGCTAATTTCTTGAAGATTATTGATATGAATTATCTTGTTCTTATGAGTTTAACTAGATTATGGATGAATTATTTGATTATTGTGTTAATTAAAATAATGATCTAAATGCCTTTAATGGACTTCATAATTTGTCCTCAACTTATGGAAAATGAAAAGTCTCATCCATTAAAATTACATTAAACTCATAAGTTATGAATTCCATGAGTCATCAAAAGATAGTTGTCAAACTTCTTATGATAGTTGTTAGTTTATATGTTAAGTTAATTACTTACATCATTTGATTTGAAACTATTTTTGCCTTATAATTTAGTTTAGATCATGATTAAAAAAATTTATGATAATTTTCCTTGTTTTAATTGATCTGAATGTTCTTTATTGAGTTCCATAATTTGTCCTCAAGTTATGGAACTTGAAAACTGTTGTCATAAATGTTTTAATGAACTCCATAACTTGTCCTCAAGTTATGGAAAATCAAGAGTCTTTTCATAAAACCAAACATTAACTCATAAGTTATGGATAGGAAGAGTTTTGAAAAGTTTCAAAACTTTCCCTCAAGTTCTGGAATTTGTAATGTCTCACTAATGAAACTTTAATTTCAAACCCTAGAGTTTTAAAACTTAAAATTCAACCCTTATACTATTGTAATATTAAAAGCTAATACTTATATATATGTGTATAAGACAAGTCAGTCTTATCGTTAGTATGCCGAATTCGCGAAGCCGGACTATAACGTTACTACGTATAAAATGGCACTTTAATGGGTATCCACTCTCACCCACCACTTCCTTGACTAGTGGAGGGTTGTTAGCCGAACGGGTAGGATAAGGCGTTAATTCACCCTCATTAAAAGTATAATGATAAATATAAAGTAACTAAACTTTTATTAGATTCCCAATCTTATTTACTTTAGGAATAATAGAAAATGGTGCTAATCCTTGAAATTGCACTTTGCGTGTTGTTAAGTCGTTAGTGGAGCGTGTGTGGTTAACCGACACACTAATCTGGGACTGACAAAGCATTGCAAAGGGTAGCTTGATGTTAATCATAGATCAACGGAGCGTGTGTGGCACATTGATTAGGTGATATGTAACATTGGATGTACCAAACTAATTTGCATGGTTATCCACACATTGTTTGTGATCCTCAGCATCCCAGTCACAAACTTGAAAGGCACAATCGAAATTTACACATGCCATTAAAAAGTTCAATGAATCTCAAAGGATCTAGGAATTTCGATCCAATTAAAACTTAATAATCCATTTCATTTTTCATGGTGGAAATTGGTAAATCATTATTTACCTACCTTCAAATATTTTACAATTGTATTACGACATCCCTTGTTGGGTCCTAGCCTAAATATTTCTTTTTGGGTCTTATATTAAGTACTTAAATCAAGTAACTTGAATTTCTCCCTTTATAGATGTCTAGGTTAGACAACTATGATCTTTTTGAATCTGTTGGAAAAGGCTTTCCACATGAAGATGATATTCCACAATATCATGCTTCACTTCCTTCACCTCCTCCAATTATTCTCCCTAACCCACAAGTCCAAAGACTTGAAAAGTTCAAGTTCACTCAGGCCCTATTGGCGAGAAAACATGTCTTGGAGATGAAATCACACATTGACAGGCTGGGAATGTTAGGAGTCGTTGCCTCAAGGAATTTGGCTGTTGACTTGGTTCTTTAGTCACTTCCAGAGTTGTATAATCAGTTTGTTAATGACTACTATATGACAGATCGCGTCGTGAACCTTATTGATCTTACCTATTTGCTAATTGATGCTGAATCAGCAATGGTTTGGCGCACTGGTATTGCAAAGTTGATTGGAAGATCTACTTACCAAACTTTCATGGAAATTGACAATGGGAACATTGGAAGTATAGAAAAGGTTTCTCTTTCCAAGGGAAAGGGAAAGGCTAAGTCTGAGATTTTCTCATGTACCATTCCTAAAGAGTCCATATGTTTCTATTGCCAAGAGAATGGGCATTGGTTGCGAAGATGCCATATCTACTTGAAGGATCATAAGGATGGTAAGGTCAAAAATTTTGACTCTGCTTTAGGTAAGTCCATTATCTATCTCCATTAAGTTCCTGTTTGTAGATTCTTAATACATGATGTCATAACATTACATTTTGATGTTTTGTAGGATCAAAGGAAGCTTAAAAGGAAAGGCATGCAGAGTTTGATCGTGAAGAGATGGATTTCGATCTCATGGTTCGATGATAGGATTTTTGAGATGCAGCTTAAAAGTTATGATAGATTGCTTAGAAATTTGTAATAACATAGTTTTCATTTGTAATTGCGTTGTAAGGAAAAGTTTTCCGCATTTTATAAATAAATAAATTTTTTTTATCTTATTTTATATTTCCTTGCAATGGCAATTGTGAAAATTGATGTTTGTATGTTTCTATTTTTAGCAATGTTGGATTTGATTCTTTTGTTTGTGGTTGTTTGTGGTAGTGTATAAATTTACCAAATAAGGAAACATTCTCATCACCCAAGTTTCAATTGGATAGAAACTTGGATTCATGCAACTTGTATTGTATGATGAATGAGAACCTTCATCTTTGAGAAATTAGGACTAATTCCTTATTCACATACAAATGTGAGTTAAGTGAAGGACTAGGAGATCGGATACACTTGGTTGTGCATTGGTCGGGTCCACCACAAAGAACGATAAGACTATTCGTTATGGTTTAATAAAGTTAGTAAATATGGTTGTGCTTACAAGATTAAGTATAGCTCTGAGTTATTGAAAAGTCTCAACGTATAGCAGAATGAATAAGAAGAATCAAATTCAGCAGAAAGATAAAAGTTTCTCTAATTTGAAAAGATGGGAGAGTACTTGAGTATCGTATTTTATGATCATCTCAATGATTATAAAAACCATATCACAATTTGATCCTCTAAGGAATCCTTAATACATTCATTTGGCTCAGAAGAGGAATCAGGAATTGTTGAAATGGTTAAATCAGTTAAGATGAATCATACTTTGTTCCAAAATCAAGTCTTAGAGTCATACTCCAAGATAGTACAT